AAAGGGCTTGGACTGCGAGCCACATGGCCGAGCGAGAGCGAGCAAAGAATGAGCGGAGGCCTAGTATAGACTATAAAGAATTTACCGTTGGGATTTTTGTCGATCTAAAAAAAGCATTTGATACCATAGATCATTGTATATTATTGATTAAATAATATGGAGCACATAAATGGATACAAAGTTATTTAGATAATAGATATCACTACATGCAGTTCAGCAACATAAAATCAAAGCAGTTGATGATCACTCATGAGGTTCCTCAAGGGTCTGTGCTAGGCCCAAAACTATTCATATTGTATCTTAATGATATCTGTTGTGTTTCAAACCTTACTTAAAGGTGTCTTATTTGCCGATAACACAACTGTGCTAGAATGTGTGCTTACGTAGCGCCTGTACCTAACGTATGTTGTAGCATTATGTACAGTACACAAGTAAGTCCAGTTGTGTACTAGGAGTAGGTCTATGTGTGGACTTTTTTTCCCGTTTCTTTCCATTTGGGATATACTCAACATCACAAGTGTCAAACTCAAGGCCTGGGGGCCAGATCTGGCCCGCCACATCATTATATGTGGCCCGCGAAAGCAGATCATGTTTTATAAGTTTCATTAGTTAGACAGTCAGTCATTTCGTCAGTCAGTCAGAAAGTCAGCCCTTCACCTATTACTTGTTTTAGAAATTATTAATTGCGTAATGTATCTAATCCATCAATTTGTTGTGTAAAAATAACAAAACTACGTGATGATTAAACATTAATTCGGCCCTCCGAGAGAAGATGTAACTCCAAAGTGGCCTGTGACAAAAATGAGTTTGACACCCCTGCTCTACATGATTGATCTTTTATTATATTCATATAAAACAAGTTCAAATACGCAAAGAATAAGGGGTAGGACTAGATAGTTTTTTTTTACTGCTTCCTACTTCCTTTGAAAATGTAGTCTGTCCTTAAAAAAAAAAAAAAAAAAAAGTATGTAAAACATCAGAATAGGGCACTTTCAGGGCATACATGGCATCATTGCTGGTGCAAAACTTTTAAGAGGTAGAGGGGGGGAATGCTCCATAGAAGTGCCTGCAGATATTATTTATTTATTTAGCAACAGACACACACGAATACCTTAAATTCCCTTCCGTAGCGTAATCTCCATTACCCATGAAGCATTGCGTGTCCATGTTATGGTATGTAGTCGTTGGAGCATCTGCGGCCTGACTCCCCCTTCCTTCCAGTCTCAGCTGCTCATCCGCACTTCATTTTGTCTCCCAATATGCATCGGCGTTAGCGTCTCAGCTGTTGTCTGCGCACGTGTTTGAATTCAGCTGTGAAGGTGCAACAGGCTCACAGCGTTGTCCTGTGGCACATGGCCAGGATGGTACGGCTTTTTAGCAGGCCTTGTGTATTGTGGTGCATTTTAAACACGCAGCAGCACAATGAGCTAGTGGTTAGCGGGTCTGCCTCCCACTTGAGAGTTCCCGAGGTTGAATCTCTGCTCACTGAGCAAGTGATGAGATTTCAGTTAAATATACACGGCAGCATTTCTCTTTCGGCATTATGTTTTGCGTCCACACGAGGCAGAGAGCTCATGAAACCAACAGCGACAGCCAATGTGAGGAAGCCCCTCCCACGGGGGGAAGCTGAGGCCCACAATCAAACAGCTACCGACCAGTTGGACGTTGGAGTTTTGAGCTGGATACTCTGAGGTTGAAAGGGCTTGGACTGCGAGCCACATGGCCGAGCGAGAGCGAGCAAAGAATGAGCGGAGGCCTAGTATAGACTATAAAGAATTTACCGTTGGGATTTTTGTCGATCTAAAAAAAGCATTTGATACCATAGATCATTGTATATTATTGATTAAATAATATGGAGCACATAAATGGATACAAAGTTATTTAGATAATAGATATCACTACATGCAGTTCAGCAACATAAAATCAAAGCAGTTGATGATCACTCATGAGGTTCCTCAAGGGTCTGTGCTAGGCCCAAAACTATTCATATTGTATCTTAATGATATCTGTTGTGTTTCAAACCTTACTTAAAGGTGTCTTATTTGCCGATAACACAACTGTGCTAGAATGTGTGCTTACGTAGCGCCTGTACCTAACGTATGTTGTAGCATTATGTACAGTACACAAGTAAGTCCAGTTGTGTACTAGGAGTAGGTCTATGTGTGGACTTTTTTTCCCGTTTCTTTCCATTTGGGATATACTCAACATCACAAGTGTCAAACTCAAGGCCTGGGGGCCAGATCTGGCCCGCCACATCATTATATGTGGCCCGCGAAAGCAGATCATGTTTTATAAGTTTCATTAGTTAGACAGTCAGTCATTTCGTCAGTCAGTCAGAAAGTCAGCCCTTCACCTATTACTTGTTTTAGAAATTATTAATTGCGTAATGTATCTAATCCATCAATTTGTTGTGTAAAAATAACAAAACTACGTGATGATTAAACATTAATTCGGCCCTCCGAGAGAAGATGTAACTCCAAAGTGGCCTGTGACAAAAATGAGTTTGACACCCCTGCTCTACATGATTGATCTTTTATTATATTCATATAAAACAAGTTCAAATACGCAAAGAATAAGGGGTAGGACTAGATAGTTTTTTTTTACTGCTTCCTACTTCCTTTGAAAATGTAGTCTGTCCTTAAAAAAAAAAAAAAAAAAAACGTGCTGCTTTTGTATCTCATGAGACACAACTTATTTACTTTCCCTTTGTTGGCACAGTGGGTATATTTCATTATATGCAGAGCTGCATGCATCATTATTTGCACACATATATTGAAAACATTTGGTCCGACTATGAAGCCCACAAGTTGATTTTTATGTAACATATTGAGCAGATTTTGCCAACCCTCTTGATGAATGAAGCTGCCATTGTTTAATATGGATCAAATTACCAAATGTTGCCTTGGTGAGGAATAAGTTGAAGGTTGCCTCCCGTGTTTGTTCTGTTCATTAAAACGCACACTAATGCAAGGGTTCTAATTAAAATCTCTAATTAAGACCGCGTGTTGACAAAGAGCAGATAACGCTGTAAGAGCCTCCAGGGGCAGCAGCCGCACGGCTATGAAATGCTAATAACGAACCCGGCGTAGAAATGTAGCAAATAAGCTTAACTCAACTTTATTTATAGAGCACTTCAAAATAATGCAGCTTAAACAAAGTGATGTGCATAATCAAATGCAAACGTTAAACATCAAACACCACCACAACAACAACAACGACAACATAATAATAATAATAATAATAATAATAATAATAATAATATAATGACATTGAATAATATTGTGCCAAGTAGGATGGCCAGTGAGGAAAAAGAAGTCCAGAAATTCTTTATGATTTTTTTTTTAAAGTCAACACAGGTTTTAGTATTTATTTAATACGCAATTCTTTTTTTTTTTTTATCTTGCTTTGTATTTGATTGCCTTTTCCTTTGCTCGACGGCACACTTTGTACTCGAAGACACAATCGTTCTTTTGAGAGTTTCATTTATTTAGGGATGAGCTGGACGCAAACTTTCCAAATTGCGCAAGCCGGTTGAATCAATATTAAGGAGGTACATGATGGACTGTCAAGGACATGAAGTACTCAGCGTCTCACGCTAGACTTTGGTCACACCGTCCGCAGACGACGGATGAAAGAATCAGCGGACAGCTGGTGATTCTTTGCCGCTCTAATTGTACGATGGTGTCGAGAAGAAGAAGAAGAAGAAGACGGTGAATGGACTACAGCTTTGGTACCAGCTGTACTGGATAGTGTGTGTCAGAGGAAACCGTTTAATTGAGCACGGCCTCCCGCTTCACGGATCGTGGCGGCAAATCAAACTGATCCACGCCGACACCTCCACAGAACCCCCCGCTTCCAAGTTGTTCTGCTTTATATTCTTGTTCTGATTTGTTTGACTACGTCAAAGAGTAAAAGAAGAGGTCACTTCTGTGGGAATCGTAGTTACTGTCAGGACAGCGCCGCTAATAACCACATCCAACTGTCTTTTTTTTTTTTTTTAGGCTTGAATCTTTGATCCAGATTTCTGGATGGAGTCTCACGAGCTTGTTTTTTAAGGCGGGGAAACTCCTGACTGACTAATAAGACAGCGGTTGCATCTGGATGAAATGATATAAAACCTTTTGTGTGTTCCTGTTTACACGAAAGCAATACCGTGTTTTGCTTTTTGCTCCTTCACTGTACCCCAATGCGAATGAACCGTGACCTGAAAATTGTGACTTTTGGCATTCCATTGTAACCCTATTAATAATGCCAATGACGATAATGGCCAACAAAATGTAGACAAGCCAATAATCAAAAGAGTTGAACTATATTTAGATGCTCAAAGCCTGAGGCAACGTCGTTTTTTTCATTTGAACCGCTTTTGAGTGGCTGTTTGTAAATGACGAGAAACACCTATTGAGTCCTTGTTCGCCGTGATGGGAAGTTCATTTAGTCTGTAACGGCCTCCTTCAGCCAAGTCCATTGTGAACATTGTTACTTGACATTGTTTTACCGCGCACCTATTCAAGCCTCAACGTGAGCACGGAACAGCAGCAAACGGCGTCATTTTTCACTTTTGTCAAACAGTAGCCCAACCGGAACCGCCGCCTTTCCCCTCGCCATCCCGGCTAATTCACGGTGATTGACACCTCAGACAGGGCTGTACAAATTCAGTATTTTCGATTTTGTGCAGTCAGAGGTGGAGATCACATTTCATTTGGAAAAAAAAAAAGTCATCCAGAAAAAAGGTGGAAACATCACGGGGAAGGATGGTTGGCTTCCAGCCAGTGAACGTGGCGGAGCTGACGGGTTGTCCCGTCACTGCTTAAGCGTGCCGTGATTTTCCCGGCGGCTAAACGTCAATCGCGGCACCGCCGCGTTGCTAACGCCAAGTCGTGCATGATGTCGAATTGTGACTAACTTGATCTGGAGCATTGCATTGACATGTGTGTGTTTGTGGAAGGTGGCGAAGTCTTTTTTTTTTTTTTTTTTAATGAAGCTGATTTTTTTATTTGCAGCTATGGCGCGTCGACGCGATATCTGAAAGCTCCGCGTAATCAAGATCAGTGGTGTGCGGCGCCGTGGAGCCGCAAAGCATCTGGACAGTGACGCCTCAGCAAAGCAGTGGAGCCCAACTGGCCTCAGTAATTCGAAAGGAATCTTCTCTCAAATTGAATATTCACAAGCAGGCAAGCAACCGGGCAGAGAATCCAAATTGTTTGAATGAAGAAGTACAATCGCAATATTATGAAAATGACTCTGACAGCTGCAGTCAAAACTGAACGCTGTTGTCTTTCCAGGCAGAATTGTATAAGTGGAACGCGCTAGATTGTGCACTTATTGTAAAATGACTGTTTAGCCTTGGCAAAACGGGAACAACTCAGCATTAGCTTACAGTTTTTTGTGAGTCACTGCTTGAAAAGCATGTCAATGCTACAAACTTATTTTATGTTCTGGAATATAAGATAAAATAAGATAAGATAAGAAAACCGTTTTTGTCCCACACTGGGGAAATTTGCAATCTTCAGCAGCAGAATTGAAGGGGGGTGGGGGTAGAAAGAAAAACAAAGTATTGCATGCACAAAATAAATGTTCCAGAAAAAAAGAACTGTACACACTATAAGAGGTATTTTGAATATCTGAGTGTGATTTACCGTATTTTCCGGACTATAAGTCGCAGTTTTGTTCTTGGTGTTGGATTTTATCAAATAAATTTCCCCCCAAAATGCGACTTATACTCCAGTGCGACTTATATGTTTTTTTTTGTTCTTTATTATGCATTTTATGGATGGTGCGACTTATACTCAGGAGCGACTTATAGTCGAGAAAATACGGTAAATCACACTCACGCATTTGTCAGCAAGCATGAAATCCTTAACTGGATTACGGTCTGTTGAACTGGTTTTCATATCTCTGTTGATCTTAGGTCACAAGAGATGAAGAGGCTGCTAACAGCGCCCCAGGAATAAGTACAGGGCTCGTCCGGGATATGAACCCGAAGCAACAGTCATACCTCTCGCGCCCCACAGATAGAAATTGTGGGGAGGCCTTTGACAAAGACGGCGGCTATATTTTAGGAGGTAAGTGACGACAAGAAGCTTTATGAATCGTGGAATTCTTTCTTGTTTGTGTTTTATGGGATGCTTTGTTTGAGAAGTGTTTGTAGGAATACAGTATTCATGTTATGTGTTTTTTATCATTGACAAGTTCTTGCTTGCAATGTTTACTGTGAGCATGAATATTTACCCAACTCAAACTGCAATTAAGCGGACACTCGTTCTAAAGCAGTAAGACCCCCGCCGTTATCACGTGTTGTCGAAGTTTAGCTGGAGTTTTATTGCGTTTGCAACGGTTGACTTCTCGCCGCGCTCGTGTGACGGTTAAAGCGAGATGCACGAGCTGTGTCGACGCCAGCTGCGTCCGTTTTCCCGACATGCAGCATTGAAAAGCTCACGCGGGCTGCCTGTTGTGTGAGTTCCTACCTCTGTGTTGAGAATGAAGTTCATTCTTTTCAACGGGGTCAATATGGCGACAATTTTAGCCAGTGATGTATCCTCGCCGGCGCGGCTCGGCATTTCTCAACTGTCATCATCATCCCGCCTCAATTACTTTGAAGGATTGTCCGGGGCAAGGTCCTTGGCTCAGATACTAGTTTCCCCACATATACAGCATTTGTGGAAGCCTAAAAAGCCACTGGACTCTTTTTCAGTTACAGCTGCACTTATACGTCTCCGTTTTGATGCTGTTGAGTTAACAGTTAGTTTAGTGTTGTTGTAGTCACGACTCATTTTAAAAGGATGCATGCACCCTGTTGAAGTATCTCCGATATCAAATGTACATGACATGCAAAAATGGGAAATCAACTTGTAGCTAATGCAAGGAGAGAGGAGGAGAATCCAGGGAACTATCGCTAAAATGTCTAAAGGGTGTCACCGTATGGGCTCAGGAACACTTCAATGTCATTAAATACAGTTCTGTGCCACATCCGTAAGTGCAGCTTAAAACTCTACGATGCAAATGAAAAGTAATTTATCAATTACACCCAGAAATGTTGCCGACTTCTCTGGGCCTGAGCTCATGTAAGATCGACTGATGCAAAGTGGAAAATCGTTCTGTGGTCTGATGAGTCCGCATTTTAAATTGTGTTTGGACATCGTGGACGTCATGTCATTTGGACCGTTATGGATGGAGTTCAAAAGCCAGGATCCGTGAAGGCCCCATTAATGCTGAATGGCACCTACAGGTTTGGAGAAACATACGCTGCCATCCAATCGTCTTTTTCATGGACGCTCTTGCAGCAGCAAGACAATACCAAATCACATTCTCCATCTGTTACGACAGTGTTGCTTCCTCGTAAAAGAGTGTGTGAGTACTAGACTGTCCTGCCTGCAGTCCAGACCTGTCTCCCATTGAAAATGTGTCACGCATTATGAAGCGTAAAATACGACAATGGAGTCGGGACTCTTTAACAGCTGAAGCTGTTTAATGCAACTTCCCAACCTAATTGGAATTTGGTTTGTATGAAAACATTTTTTTTTTCCTTCCTGTACTCTGAGGGTGCGTGAGTGTGTGTTACAGTTGTCTTGGGATGAGCAGAGCAGATTTCCAGCAGATTGTAAGTTGTTTTTTTTTTTTTTCTTCTTCTTTACTTTCTCCCTCCTCCCTGACATTGTTGGCAAAATGCAGGTGCATTCATTATCCTGTAATTACCCCGCTGTTGGTCTGGCGGTGTATTATTCATTATGCGCTACATTCCACCCGCGCTGTTATGACAGCAATGGTAAAATGAGCGAGCATCATAGCGCATGAGCTCCACGGGCGTCGTTAATGAGATGGCGAGAAAGTTGCTCTCAAGGCCGCCTTGAGGAGATTCGCCACTAATCAGTCTCCCGTCCACTTAGTTTTACCTTCGTCCCCTTTTACGACGTCATTGCGCGTCAGCGTGGAAACAGCTGGTGGGAGTGAAACTGCTAAGTAAGTGATGCTTGGCGCGAGGCATCGTCAACACGATGCTCGCTGACACATCATGTTTCAAGCGTGGCTTTGAAAGCGGGCCAACTCGTGAGGAATTCCGAGGGCACGTGCGAAAGTGAGGCAGGGCGGTGAGTCATTCTTTTGGGATCAGTGCGCGCCAAGCTGCGAGGCAAAGATCCTGAAAGTCATGCGAGCGGTCATCCAGATCACGGGGGCAGCACGGCGATTACAAAGTTGCTCTGCCTCGCTATCAATGCGGGCTGTGGTGTGAAGCTCAACTCGGGAGAAGAATATAGTTATGGGGAAATGTTGGGCGATATCATTTTTTTATAAAAAATTACTATTCTCATTCAAAGTCATCTGGAGCGCCAGGAGGAGCATTTTAAAACAGTAAAAATGCATCCCATGTCTCCGTGTTAGGTCTCTACTACGGTAGGCAGTGATTTCCTTTTTACAAACTCACAAACTCTTGCATCGACATTATTTTTTTCAGTTTCTTTCATCTTCGGGGCCGTTATGGCTGTTGCTCGTCATGGCATGTATCCATGCACACGCGCGTTTGTGTGTGGATCCGTGCACATACGGAAACGGGTCAATTGCGGGAGTTTCGTTGCTTGGAAAGTAAATCTTCGGTCCAAAAAGTTTGGGCACCCCTGCTGTTCAGAGACGAGGCGCGGAGACTTTTGACATTGGTCTACAGCCACTTAGAGCAATCAGGATGTAGAACACAATGCACTAAAAAATAACATTCAAAAATCTGTGAAACTGCGAAGCCGTGAAAGGTGAAGCGCGTTATAGCGAGGGTCCACTGTATTATTTAAACTGCATGACCTAATCCAGAAGAGAATGATATCTGCTGCAGCCCGGGCTTCTCAGTACAGCAGTAATATTAGTTTTCTGCAGAGGATTAAGAATATATACATGCAAATATTGTTATATGGTTTGTCTACATGTGTTGTTGTTGTTGTTCTATCCAAATTTGCTCGCCCTTTTATGGCATTTCGTATTATATACATTGGCACTAAAATGGTGGACTTCACCGAAATGATGCGATATCATCTTAAATTCCTGATTTAAAGCCAGGTGAACATCTGTGAAAGGAGATAAAATATACAGCCTGCAGAATTGGCCTTCAAATCACCCCTGGTGCACTTCTGGTGCTGCTTTATCTTGGACAGCTCGCTCTCGAAAAAAACCTTCACTCACATTGTGTTATTCATGACCAAAACAAGACTGTTCCTTGTTTTACAAATGAATAATTTGCAGTGAAAGGCGTCTTGAGCTCACAAAGACCTGATTCTTCCAGACATGTTCATCAGCCAGCACAAAAAAAAAAAAAAAAATGAACAGGAGTCCATCAAGATGCATGTTGATGAGGCGACAAAGTATAAGGTGCTCGTTACTCCTCCACACAGAAGCGAATCTCCATGAAAAGCAGATTTTCCCGCTCAGTTTTACGTTCTCGTTTGAAGCCCCACCTCGTCGGTTGGTTTTCGTCTCGTTGCGGGGGACCCCCCTCATTTCTCGCGCCTCGCAGACTTTCTGCAACACAGCAACATTTATATTTCAGCGGCCCGCGTATGAATTATGCACAGCAAAGCGCTAAGAAAGACTTTTAATGATGTCTCGCCGGTGCAGACTAGCCATCGGGCCCGTCTGAGCCGCCCGGTCGGGGACGTCGACTCGACCTCATCCCGAAGCCTGAACGCCGTTTCAGGTTTCCAGTCGGCGCACAGGTTTGGGCGAGGACCTCTGGTTCCGACCCTGTCAGAATATTGATCTGCGCTGACATCCGACGTAATGATTCTTTGTCAGCCGAGAAACGAGCGGACGGGCCGCGGTTCGACTCGTATCGCGCACTGACTTTTAATTAATAGTCCTTCGCCCTCTCCTTTTGACCTCGTCATCTGCGGACGCCGTTGATTTTGTGTCAACGCCTCGCCCTGATGCAAACTGCCGCAAAAGGTGATTTGTTGAACGCGTACTCCGGGTCTACCACACGCCCTCTCGATTAAAAGTTAAACAGGTTCGCCTCCTGGAAAATGTCTTCAAGCCCAGATCAGGAACATTGTCATGTAGGGCATGCATTGTAATTCGCGATCAAATATTTATATCCAAATGGCAGATGCAACAATATTTCTTGTTACTTCCCCACACTGGAAAACTGACACATTTGTGAAAGAAAATTTGGTTTAAACAAATAAGTTGGT